TTACTGGTTTATACACAACAGGAGCTATTCTCTTGTTTTCAAAACTCACTTTTTATTTTGTTGCAACAACAATCACAGCCACTGCCATCACAGTGATGACACAATGATTGACGGATTAATCATTAATGTCAGATGTCATAATAATAATAATTGTCTATCACAATTTCCCAAACCTATTAAATTAACAATGATGCAAAACAAACACGCTAAAAAATGTGAAGATACTCAGATTTGAGTTGGAACTTAATAAAGTTTGGCATTTTCTAAAGTAAATAAACAAATAATCAATTAAAAACATGAATTAATTAATTAATTAATCATTGTCGTCTTCAGTATCAAATAAAGATGTTTTTCTCTACATCTCAAGCTTTACATTAGCTTTCTAATACAACTCAAAGTAGCAATTTGGTTTTCTACAAATTAAGCAAATTCTACAACATTCTACTACAAATTCCTCCTTATCTAGTCAGAAATTTTTTTTTTTTTTTTTTTAATTTTGGTCAATGCACGACTTCAGTTTTTCAAAGGACAACTATATTTTAATATACATTTAGAAATGAAACAAATACTTGACTTAGCATGTGCCATCACTTCTTTTCCGTGCAACACTGCAACAGTTCCAGAGATACCACAATAAACATATACAAAAGATACAAACACACACACATACATATAGGAGATACAGCAGAAAGAACATAGAGAGAAAAAGGAGCCATGAAACAAAGAGAAAAAAAGAAAAAAACCTCGGTGCGATGTGTTTTTGTCAGATAAGACGACAGAGCTAAGAGTCAGCTGACAAGTGAAAACACACACACACTAAAACCACAACTGAGCTGTGTTTTTCTATCCCAGCTACCCCATGCCCCACACACACACACACTAGGCAGGGTGTGAATCCCTCTACTGCCTGGGCTGTCAGCAGAGTCTCCGAGGACCGAGGATCATGGGAGCTCTGAGAAAGGTCAGGGTGAGCAAGAAACCAGCTGGGCCATAATTGACACACACACACACACACACACACACACACACACACACACACACACACAGAAAAAGTCATCTAACCAACCTTGCACCAAGATGTATTGATCAGTGTCCCCACCATACACACACACTCACTCATTCTCCTCCTCCCTTCTTTTTCACTCTCCCCCTTCTTTCACTTTCTCCCTCTCCCTGTTTTTCTCTCTCCCTATCCTCCACTCTCCATCCTTCTATCCCCACCCTCCCCCTTTCTCTCCCTCTTTCTTCCTCCTTTACAGCCTCACTGTCACACTCTTCTCCCTTTCCTCTGCCCTCTTCACTCCTCCTCCTCACCTCTCGCGTCACCTCTTTCGTCTCTTTCTCTCTCTTTGCCCCCCCTCTTGTTTCTCTCTCTCCCTCTTGTTTGCCTTCTTTCTCCCTCCACCTCTTTTTCTGTCCCCCTATATCCCCTCCTCCACCCCCCATCTCTCTCTATTGCGCTCTCTCTCTCTCTCTTTCTTGTTCTCTCACCCCCTCAGTATTTGACCATTTGCTTTCTCTCTCATTCTTTCTCCGTCTCCACTCACCCTCTATGCCTCTTTATTTCAAAAGCATCATTTTTTTAAGTCACGGAAAAATGTATGCACCTGAAACCTGAAAGGACACTTCTGTTGTCATCCTGCAACATGAATACATTTATGAAATGAAAAAAAAAAACTCATTAACCTTCAGGGAGAAGGAGCGCAGGTGCCAAGTACCATATATTTAATGGGGGTGGCTGATGCTTCGGCAATCATTTAGAAACTGAACTGATCACACACAAGATGTTCCTGGATCACGGTGACTGATCACCTCAGCTAAACAATATGATGGAGAAAAAAAAACCTGTACAGACAAACCTCAATAACATTATTGTAAAAAAGATGAAAATTTAACTGAATGTCTGTGGTGTTACTCCACATCCAGCAGTAGCAGTGAGTGATAGTTAATATATTAAGCTGCACTTTGATTTCTCACCACAGGAAGTACAGGAGGAGTTCTTCACACTCTAGGGTATATTAACAGTATTTTGTCTGAATAAGCATCTGAAAATGTTTCACACTGTAACGAAAAGTGAGACAGTCCTGCATCTCTCAGTCAGGTTTTTTTTTTTTTCCCCCGTGACAGAGTCGAGGAACAGAACAGCAGGTACAGGGAATGGAATTAGATGACGTTTGTGTCATCTGTAGCAAAAACCAGCTGGCTTTACACCTAGTTAACATGGATCAGACTCAGACGATAAACAGGTGTGTGTGTGTGTGTGTGTGTGTGTGTGTGTGTGTGTGTGTGTGTGTGTGTGTGTGTGTGTGTGTTCACATGTGACCCAACTCCATGACCTTTTAAAGAGCAAGACTGATGCAAACACACACATACACATCTGCACGTCATCATAATTAAAGTACAGGGAACACAAATACCTCCATTAATGTTAATGACATCTGCTGTGCTGCTGCTGCTGCCAGTATGTGTGTGTGTGTGTGTGTGTGTGTGTGTGTGTGTGTGTGTGTGTGAATTTTCTTAATCACTTAATGATGATGTCAATGAACAACAAACTGTTGTGTTCTATTCCATTCATTTCCAGTTTCACAATTTTCAAGTGAATTTTCATATGAATGATGAATGAATGCCACTTTTTCTCACCTAATTATTAAAAGTACAGACATTAGCATGAACATGAGGTTGGAGATGAGGTCATAAAGGAGGAAATGTGCCAGTCTTTCCATAACAATCGACATTAGTAGGTATATAGGTAATTCTACACACAGCTCCATTTAGAGGAGAGCAATATCTGCTGCAACCTGTTGACTTTCTCATCTTAAAGCAGCTTCACAGTGAAATCAGCCAAGTTTACTGTGTCCATATTGGATGTGGGTGAACTATCTTTTGCTTGAAATCCGACTTTTCTTTGTCTCGACTGTACAGACAGATTAGAAGCTCTAAGCTATTCTAAGTTGTGCTCCGAAAACTGGAAAATATATAAAACAGTGGTGAACACCTTGATATTCAACAGCAGATCAGCTACTGTACGTTTTGAAAAAGTGCTGACGATTTGTGAAGTACGTGGTCACCTGTGTATCTAATGCACATCATGTACTTAACCATAAACATGCTGCTTAAACAGGAATATGATTGTGCTTCTATGGTGCTCTGTTCTCTTTGATATCATATTGAAAATGATGAACATATGTACATGTGGCTTATATGAAAGAGTTTTCCATAAACAACATTATAACGTCACCTAAATGACTCATCTTACTGACCGATGGTCAGTGAATGTCAAATCTGTGTTGCCATTCAAAATTAAAGTAGCCATCACAACATCTCAGTTTACCTCGTCTTTGGTCATAAAAAATATTTTTCTCAGCTACTGTCAAGATGCTGTAACTTCTGACCCCTGGTCTCCTTGTAATGAACGCAAACCTTCTGAAGGTTAGCAGACGTTACAGCTCCTCTCTGGGTAACAATGTGAGAGAAAAAGAAAAACACATCAGACAGCTTCACATTTCCTGCTTTGAGTGAGACGATGTGGCACTGCCTGAGGTGTTACCCTTTATGCTTAAAGGAAAAAAAAAAAAAAAAAACTTCCAACAGACTGAAGTGTGTCATATCTGTGATCACACCGCCCAAGTCGATTTTTTTATAACATGAAGAGACACGCTCTGGTTGCCAGCTGCGGAAGAGGTTACTAAATATTGACGGACCGGTCAAAGATGGTGCAGTAACAACCCTGTTGTCAGGTATCGTTGTTTACAGCTTTGGCTGCTACTCTAACTCAAGGAGCTCTGCAGAATCCCATGATAAAATAAAACCAACATGTATTATTGATGTGACATTTGGGTTGTGAGTTTCAAAATATTATTAACGTTTGAAGATTTAAGTTTAAAAATGAAAGTTGCATTGTTTGTAGAAAGGATTTTGATTACTCATAAGGCTATCATCGTCGTTCCAGGTTATTTTGCAACATCATCAGCAGTAATGATTGCATCATAATCTTCATCAACAGCACAATTGTCATAAAAAAAACCAGCATCTCCATCACCATAATCATCATAATTATTGCCACAATCAAAAACACACTTTCATCCTCATCGGCACCACATCCTTGTCTTTACCAGCATCTTCTTCATCATAACAGACATTAATATGCTTCAATTATTTTCATTATAAATATTGTATTCATCATCTTAACAATCACCACAGGGATCCTCATGCTCAACACTCACATCATCACCAGTGTCAGAATCATCTTAATACTCATCAGCACAATTTTCAGTGATATCCATTATCATCCCGACGACATCATCAACCTTCATTATTTGCAGCAAAACAAAATCACTTTTTATCAGCATCATCCAGCATAATCATCATCACTGCCTTTTCTGGACCCTCAGGTCTGAACATAAACACTCTCAGCAAACCCATTCTGCATCAGATTAGGTCTTTTCACAGCTAAGAGGCCTGGAAGCCTCTTTGTTGGCAATTATATGGAAAATTACAGCTGGATTCAATGCAGCTCGACTCAGTGCTTCCCCCTAGCTTCCTCTGCAAGAAACCAGGGGACAGCAAGGGAGAGAGAGTTGTAGAGAGAGAGTGAGAGGGAAGTGTGTGTGGTGGAGAGAATCGGTCTCAAAGGAAACAATAAGACAGGAGAGAGAGGGCGAAGGAGAGGCTCTGCGGTGCAGCATCAAAGACCAACAGTATCCTCTGGGAGGAGAAACAGAGCAGGCAGCTGCCATGATTTTAAACAGCATTTAGTAGGTTGATACCTGGGTCATTAGCCGTGAGAAGTCTTCACCAAGAGACAGAACCAGCAAAATATAAAGATTAACAATCAAGACCAGGTCGGAAAGACAGACACATGCATGCACACACACACAGTGCAGCAACAACAAACAAATTCCAATCTGCAGAAAGCACCGGAGTCGAAACCGAGGGCATCTCTCACACACAGGCAGACACAGAGTCACACAATGTAAACATGCTTCGCGAGGCGTCCTTACCTTCCTGCACCGCCTGGAAAGGGTTGTTGGGCTCGATGAGTTTAATGGAGTGTGTGATCTTTTCGCTCTGTAGGATGTCATCGCTCAGACTGAGGTCAGACACGGCGAGCTGGAACACTTCATCGTCCCGCACTGCGTTCTCCTCGAATATCGCACCTGGACAGGTAGAGGCAGGAAAAACAAAGGGATTAGTATGGCAGCTGGACACTCTTTGCCGAAACCTGGTTTTACATAGCAGCAGGACCGGGGATTTAACCACCAACGGGCAGAAACAGTAGCCACTGAGTTACGCAGGAACCTGAGTCTGTGGTTTCTCGGTTTGCTTCAGGGATTGGAATTCTGGTGAGATGATGTATGGTTTCTCATGATACCTTATAGTCAAGGCTGACCACCTTGGAACGGAAATACTGCTGCAGTGAAAAATTTATTGAAGTGCCAATGTTCACTAATTACTTTGACACAAAATGCATGATGTGATTAAAACACAAGACTGTTTCCATTCTAAATTGAGTTGACATCATCACTGATTTCTAACAAGCACGGTGAGTAAGCAAAGTTACTTAACTCTGAACAAGATTAACTAAAAAATGCAAATGTACAACATGTCACACTTTAACTGAATAAATCAAATAAAAAGCAAAGACATAAAAACACCATTAAAGTCCAAAACCCAATTATAAAGCAGAATTATGTTTTAAAAAGCAGAAATCTTCCCAAAAAGGCTCAGTTACATGACAGTATAAAAAATTTAAAAATTTAAAAAAAATAAAAATACCACACAGTATATGTGCTTTGTTTCTTTTAATGTGAGACCGCTAAATAAGTAGTTCACTCATGGAGAAGTAGTGAAATTAATTAGCAACTAATCAGCAACGATGGTAACGACTACATTCAACTGACACTTTAAAAACATGCTAGCAAATGTGGAGAAAAACAGTATGTACAGCATATGTTCAGACAGGAAAAGGGAGATGGATCACATGGGAGCAAACTTCTGTGATTTAATGAAGGAACCCAACTCCAAAATCTTGTCAATTCTATTGCGTCTTCCTACAAATACCAGTAATCATAACTAAGATTTCCATAGCAACATACTCATTTTGCTAAAACCCTTTGTCAGCTTTCATCAGTGCATGTTCTGTTTAATTTAATTGCACAGAGCACTGTAGTAAAATTATACCATGTGAAATTACACAAGGACAGGGATTACACATGTTCCTAATATCTCACACAGAGGCCTTGGGCTATTTCAAGAACATGGACCACAACACTTAATCTTAATCAGTAGCCACAGTGACTCATTAGTAAGTCAAATTAACATGTTTACTCGGGTTCTCTAAGGGACTTTTCCACTTGGTATCACAGATTATATTTGACTGCCATTTCAAAATGTTAAAAATGGTGAGCAAGCTTGCAACAGGGAATTTGGTGGGGCTGTCACTAACAACTATTTTTCATTTTATCGAAATGTCGATTAATCTAAACGATTAGCATGATCAATAAACCCATATCCTGGGTTAGACATTTTCTCAAACACGTATTCAGTGTAAGTGATCTTATCTTTACCTTATCCATACACGTATTGGTCCCGCTCAGACTATTACTGGTTCTTTTTTTAAAAAGAATAAATTCAGAACAGGATTTGAGTTGATAGTTCTGGGTTGTCTCAGCCAGTTGCTCAGTTTTCGACAATTTGTCACGTTTTAAGATTTGAGGCACACAAAGATAATCAGTTAGCTTCACATACAGACAGCTTTCGTTGTAGCCTTTCCTCGAAGTTCGCCATTAGCTTAACCAGCGCCATGTAGTTGTGTAAAAAAAAAACACCGGAAGTCCGTGGAGGAAATAGATGAAAATATCCCTTTTCGTTTGTTGCTTGTTGAATAGGTGGTTAGATAAAAGTTCTTCTTGGCCTTTTACTTTATATTGCACTTACAGTAAAGTTCAGTGATAGTTGTCGTCAACTCCGGTAGTCTTCAGTAATCAGTTAGCTTCACTTCACCTGGTTCTGTTTCTGCCGCAGCCTACTCCGTGCTGTTTGCCCCGTCCGTGTGTGCGTGTGTGCGTGTGTGTGTACATTACACCTGCAGATGAGGGTCATGTGATATGATAGAGAGGTCCAGGCCAGCTGTTAATGGACCTCGCGGTGAGATTGTTTTCTCAATATTCCCTTGTATGTGGCAAGAAAAAAGCAACTGCACATGAGAAACATTTTGGGATCTGGACAAAGACAAAATGCTGCTGGTTTAAACAAAGCTCACGCATCCTGTTGTTGAAATGATGCATGTGTTTAATTTTCCTGAACTGGCTAAAGTGGGAATCAGTGCTGAGAAGCACAGCAGATCTTCAGGCTTCAGCCAGATTTAAGTACAACTGGGAACTCTTAAATGTGTGTACCGATATGGACTGAAAGACATTTGGTGGGACGGAGGGCCAGACAAATGGACGTTTTGATGAATGAACCTCTCCAGATTCTGTTCAATTTGTCATGCACAATTAAGAAAACCTTGCCCACGAGTTAGAATTCAATTTGCCAGCCTGCTAGAGCTCATTCAGCTTGCTGAGTATCCAAATGAACTCTGCTCAGCACCAAGATCCTCGCAGTGCATGTGAGGGCCTTCCTCGCAAGGCAGTGAGGGGACGCCGTCTAGCTTCTCAGGCTTGATCAATCAATCATTCAGTTTTGAAATTGCAGTCAGTCAGGCGTTTTCAATTAAAAATGAATCTTGTTGCACCTGTCAGAGACATGGTGAGGGAACTGATGTGAGGTTTAAATTTCTCCTCATGGCAGCAGACTGGGGAGCCTCAAACAGCAACAAGTTTAATTAGTTTAATGAATGCTGTGGGTAGAGGAGGCCGACTCTGGACCCATGGGGGGTGACTCTGTGAGCTCAGGACTGAACATCCATGCATTTTATCCTCCTCAGAATCTCTCTCCTGCTGTCTGTCTTGAGAAAAGTGGGGGAATCAAAGGGTGAGTTCACCCAAATTACATACAGTATATCTTGGAGTATATCTCCATACAGAGAGTTTTCATTTCTCCAGGTTTTTTCAGATTTTTCAGTTCTGCCTGGACCCCCAGCACAGTGGAAGTGAAGGAAATTTAGCTCACAGCTCACATACATGAAAAATGGTTCCAGTGAAAACGTGTGACAACACGCTCTGTGAATTATCTAGAGCGGCAGGGACACTCTTTCTGGAAAGAGATAATGTTGACTTTTTATACATTTCCAGTGCTGTGAGCTGCACACATATATTCACCTCCACTGTACTGGGGTGAAGGCAGAAATCTAAGAGATGGATATCTCAAAACCTGGACAAGATAGATGCCATGATAGAGTCTATGAGAGGTAAAAGACAAATTCATGCATCTTTTGAAAACATAATTTTACTTGTGAGCATTTTGTAATTTTATTGTGTAATTTTAAACTCTGCTCTTAGAGCATGCTGTTAATGAACCCAGAAGCCTTTTCCTGTAAGGCGACAGTTCCATACCAACAAAATCATCAGCCTCCCTATACACGACTTCTAAGACCTCAACAACACAGTCATCACATGCATAGCACTCACTCTAGCAAGTGACACCAATCACGCGATCCCTCAATCCTTCACAGGCCTTCCATCTGGCCACAGATGCAAGACTTGAAAATGGAGGAGGCCACATTTTGGCAGGAGTTTTGTCCCTTCTGTGATTGGGGGGTTTTCTGAGAATGTGCAGATTGTGAAGACAAATTTGCAGTTTACATTTCAAGAACATGCTAATTTAATTTTGATATTTGTATAACAGCTCAGCCTTTCTACTCCTTCCTGAAGGTAATTTCTTAGTGTACCGGCATGTGAAAACAAACAATTCTGCCTCTGCTTCATTTAAAATACTGTTTCAGGGGAATTTCCCTCTCCAGCTAAGCAGCAGCACTCTGTGTGGTTGTATTACATGAACACATACAAAGATAGAAAGCAATCTGTACATAAAAAGTATTGCCAAGATGCATTGCTTGACATTTTAGCAGAAAATTTGCACATTTCTTTTTGATCCTTAAGGTTAGATTATTGAATTTGTGACTGAGCTGAATAGCTAATAAATGCCACAGAAACGGGGGAAATCCTGTTTAGGTTGGGAAAATGAATGTGTGATTTGGAGTCTTTGGCCTTTTCACGCGTATTTGCAAACATTCCTATGCTACATACAGGGTGGGAACTTCACACCAGCCAGCTGCCAAACACAATTTTATGCCAGTGATGTACAAACAATGTATTGTAGATTGGTAAGTTTATCAGACCCCCTCCTCTCTCTGGCAGGTAATCAACCAGCAGTCTGGGGCTTTGTGTCCCAGAGCTCTTGCTGGCTGGAAAATCAGAGAAAGCGGCTGGTTTACTTGGGGATTTAGCAGCCTCTGTGATCTGCCACCATAAACTCTGGCTTCTTGCTGGACCTATTAATCTCCAAAAGGCTTTATGGAGGCTGTGAGTTTCACTGGGTGACAATATTCTCAGATTTTATTATAAGCACCTGCTGCCAACTGAAAAAAAATATTAAAATATCACAAGATTTTATTTCTTCAGAAATAAACAATATTTTCTCCCGAATGGCAAGAGATTTAATAGATTTTATTTGGAATAGACTTTTTTTCTTTATTTTTATTTTAAACCCAGAGCTGAAACTTGTGGTTTAGAACATTAAATTACACTTTTGCTCCATCCACAAACAGAGATACATGTTGTATAGACAAGTCATAAGAGCAAAGAACGATTACAGGTAGGTTTACTGTATTTACACAACTTCCATCCCACATATAGTGAAAGGTTTTCATTTGAACTACCTAAAGTAGTTGATATTGTCTTCTGTCGGTAACCTGGAGATTGAGGTTGTTCCTGCTGAATTTGTTAAATGTAACTTTCAAAGCCGTGAGAGGCAATTTCATTTACTTCTTTTGTGTTTAATCTCAGACATGTTGACAAATGAAACCAAACCTTCTGTCTTACCTCGGTACAACAAGTTGTGAGTGAGAAAATATGTTGTCCGGATGAATATATGTATCAGTGGTAGAAGAATTTATATCTTTTACTTAAGTAAAAGCAGTAATAATCCATATTTCAAGTAAAAGTACTGCATTCAGAATATTATTTATATAAAAGTACGTAAGTAGTAGTAAGTA